GTTTTATTACCCCCGTGAGAACCCTTTTAGGCATGGCATGTGTGCCCTTGGTCGTCTCTAAGGAAAGATTTGCAACAGAGCCTGGAAAATGAAAAAATCTATAGGTGACGGATGTTCCCAAAGAAGCTAGAACATAAATTTTGTTGATTTCAGAGGAAAACGTCCAAGTGTTCAGTAAGATGTGGTTTGGGGTTTACTTTGTGTGGTAGGCAGAAAAATGTCCCCATCCTAATCCCTGGAACCTGTGACTACGTTATTTGATGTGGCAACAGGGACTCTGCAGATGTGACTGAACAAAGGATCCTGTGATGAAAGGATTCTCTTGGAGTATCTGGGTGGGCTTGATGTAATCACAAGGGTCTTTATATGTGGAAGAACTAGGTAGAGTCAGAGGTGAAGATGCTCTACTGCATTACAGGAAAGCAGAAAATACCAGCACATTCCCCTCTCATCAAAGAACAAAACTTGTTTAAAAAAGGGAAAAAGGAAACATGTGAAAAGAATGTGCTACACTAAATGTTAGGAATCAATGTATACATACTGTGTAATGGACAGAGTTCTTACATCAAAAGCCATCAGTAAGGAAACTTTAATATGGTTTTGTTTTTAAGTTAAAAGTAGAGAGAGAGACTTCATCTAAATGGTCAAATGATTTTTGCTCAAAGGAAAAAAGACAGTCTTTTTAATAAATAGTGCTGGGAAAACTGGATAACCACATGCAGAATGAAGTTGGGGTCTTACCTGACACCATCTATAAAAATTAGCTCCAAGTGGATCAAAGATGTAAATATAAAACCTAAAACTATAAAATGAGAAGAAAACAGAGGATGAAGTTTGATGACATTGAATTTGCCAAGTGATTTCTTGAATATGATACCAAATGTACAGCTGATAAAATAGACAAATTGGATAATGAAATAAAAAAAATTTTTTTTTAATTTATGTATTTAAAAAATCAACAGAGTAAAAAGCCTCTAACTTTGATCTTTCCTATTTGGAGAGAATTTCCACAAACTAGAGGAGTCACACATAAGAGCACACCAAACGAAAATATAAAGAATGACAAAATCTCAAAGTGAAAAAGAGTTTAGTGGAAAATGATAACAGTTCACCTATAGTGTATAATACTTGAGAATTTAAGTATAAATGATGTTCATGGACCAAAAATACTGGTATAAGCATGTCTAAAGTTCTCCAGATGACATATGTTGTCCTGCTTGGCACCTTTTAAATAATAATAATAGATAATATTCATTGTGTGTTCATATTGACAGTATTGAGGCCAAAATGATTAGGTCACCTGCCCATTCTGGTCATTCGGTTAGAAAAATGGGTGTGAGGATTTGAACCAATGCAGTTAACTCTACATAATATATTCACATAGAAAAACTTAAAAGAGCAAAAATTCCTCTTTAAATGACTTCCTATTCTTCAATTTTTATAAATCTAATAGAACATATATATTTTAGAAGTGAATAAATGTATTGCATAAAGGAAAAAGAAAAGCAAGTAGAATTGATTCCTTGTGGCTTTGGCAAAAAGAAATGTGATGTTAGAGTCCTTTGCACTAATATTCACATTAATAAAAAGAGGTATACAGAAGTAAAACTACAAAAACTATAAAAGATCTAGAGTCACAAAAGTTAGTACTAAGTGAAAACAGCATAAATAGGCAAAAAAAGATGGCTAACTCAGTGGCTAAAGAAAACAGTTCCCAAAAGGCCTATTTCAATTAAACCCAAATATTCAGGGTTAAAAGCTGCCTCTGACGCTATTTCCTCCCATGGAAGCTTACGGTGGGGTTGGGTGGGATTGGTGCTATGATCAGACCCTTCTAAGGAGCCCATCAGCTTTTAGACTAATTTCATCGCTGTTCCCACCTTGACTGGGTTTACAGGCTCATAGTGTTATCTCTTCCCTAAGCCCTTCCACTCTCCTTCGATGACTTCAGCATCCCAAGGAGAAGAGCCATCTGATACGCAGTCCATCCCTGGGACGTCCCCATATTACACGCCAGACACCAACTCTTGGTCAGGAAACGTCTTGTCAGCGCAGCTCATCTCTGGAAAACTGGACTCAATTATTTCTTTCTCCCATCACAGAGCTCCCATCTTCCCCAGCATGGTCTCCCTTGCAGTTATTTTTTTATTTCTTTTAAACTTCCGCTTCCTTTGGGTGTTTGTGTCTCCTGTGGTCATACCTTAGTCCCTTCCGAGATAGGACCGCTAACAACTATCATGTCAACAAATGCAATGCGCTAGTTCCTCTATCCTCCTAATGAACACCCACAAGCAAAACACCCCGCTGGATCAGTTCCCAGTTCAATTTCCCTGCAGCTGCACAGCTGGAGAAGAGTGCACAGCCACGAAGACAGTGCCTTTACAAAAGGGACGATCTTGGTTGAATGACACCCTTGCTTGTCAGTCCTGCCATTGACCCTCCCTTGTGCCTCTCATTTTGCTTGGTGACCAATGCAGAGCTTTACTCCACCAGTGGAGGCACTTTAACAACTTATCAAAGACTGTTAGAAGGATAATAAAAAGTAGAAATCTATACAAAGATTGGTAGATAATAAGCACCTGGAAGAAAGGTTTAAAGAAAATGTGTTCCCCCTGGAACACTGATTGAAACTGATACAGACCTGAGATAAGGGATTCCTGTTGACACAGTTTATACCCCCAATGCATGGCATGTTTGGCATGATTGGCCTGGGGTAGTTGCACACAAAGTCTGCTCTGAACAACCACAGCGATGCAGAGCCGAGAACATCCACCAGCGACACCTCTCTTTGAAGAATTTCAGAAGCAAGACTTGAATAAGGACCATAAGAAAATTGGCAAATGTGCATCAGAGCCAGAGGGTAGAGCATGTTCTTTACCCTTTGCAGGAATGTCATGTGGTCTGAATTTTGTGTTAAAAATCTAGGAACATATGAGTAAGGCTTTGGGCACTGTGTGCCCTCAAAATCTAATTCACATGGAATGACACGCAAAAAATACACAGCAGGAATCGATAGGTACTCAGCCAGCAATGCCCCACATGGGAACACAGGATCGGTTAAAACCACATCAAAGGAAGTGTCATTCAGGTGCCTGATCAAGTCCTTGTTATACANCACCTTCCCGCCCTCGGCCCAGGGCCCAGCGCACAGGAAGAGCAACACCCCCGCCAGCACGGGCCCAGAAACCTGGAGTCCCGCGTTCATCTCGGCGGAAGCCGAAAGCAGCTGACTTCCCCGATCAGGCTGCGCCTCCTACATTTACTTTGTTTGTCTTCATTTTATCTTGGAGCCACTTAGCAGAGTGGCATGTAATTGGAAGGCAGCGTGCCCTCCTTACATTAATCATTACAGAATAAATCTATTCCAGCCTTTCCCCTCTGGCCCTGCCCTTCTGCTTCCACCCAGAGAGAGATCAATCTGCCTTATCTTGGAAAACTCATTTGACTTTGCTGCTCTCTCGGGGAACATTCTAGTTCACTCTCTTGTTTTTCATCTAATTCCCAGAACAGTATTGCAGACACCTCTCATTTGATCACCTCCCACTTCTCTCTTAACCATGTTCTAAAAGGGACTGAAAAAATAGGATTTGACCTGTGAGTAGGACAGAAACTGAGCCTTGGGAAAAACATACAGCTACGTGGCTGGGACAGAAAGAGCATCCAGAGCAAGAGAGTGGACAACTTGGTGTTGGAAAGCAGCTAAGGAAACCAGGATCTGGCCTCCCAGCCTACAGAGAATGGTCACACCGAATGCTCCCTGCACAGTGGCAGCTAGGGTCACGTGGGAGGTGCCCTGGCATGTACATATTTGCCCGGGGTGGGTTGGGGAGGGGCATCTGTTCTCAATGTGTATCCCTGATGGAGGTAACCTCCTCTCAAAGGGAAGCCTCAGCGTCTCCTGTCACGGGGGCCTGGGCAGGAGCTCTGAGGGGACACCAAGGCCCTCCTCCCAGCCATAACCTCTCTGCTCTGTGTGACTTAATTATAACTCCAGA